ATATATAATAGAGGCTCTATTAATAATCATTTAGTTTTAGGGTGCTGGTTAATTTTTTTAATCTGATTTTTCTTTCCCCCGATACCGTAATGTAGCGACTCGTCTTCATTATAAACGATCTTTGGGTGGGGTTGCCCAAGCGCGCACGTGGTGAAAGGGGCGGAGTCAGACAAACGTTAAAACAACGGGGCGTGTTTTGTTGATAGCGCGTCATCGACAGACATTCAAAGCCCCCCAAGAGCGCCCGAAAATAGAAGGAGTTTGTTTCCTTTTTAATCGTTTTTAGACGAGAAAGAAGTGGTCAGAGACATGTACCCACAGCGGGACAGGAGAACAACTGATATATTAAACCGCAGGTGCGCAGATGTGTTGTTAAAGCAGCCACTTGATCCCCGGGTCATTATATAAAAGCGAGCTTGGCATTCCCAGCGCCACCGCCCTTTATCCCTCCATGTTTCGGTCCTCGGATTATAAATATTACAGCCTTACTATTTATTATAAGGATGTGAGAGGTTGAGACAGACCCGAGACAGTAATGCTGTCTTGTTTGTTTTAACCATACAGCCTGGTTTATTACGCGGTGACACTGCAGCAGAATTAATTCTCGTTTCATATTTAACAAACTAAGACAAAAAAAAACTGTTCCGGGAAACCAAAACGAGTTCGAAAATACCGATATTATCCGCTCACAAAAAACGAATAAAAGTAAAACTAAGTTCCTGCGTGTCCTTTCTCGCAACTCATTTCTTTTTACTTAAAATCTGACGCACGGTCTGTTCGTGAGTCGCGCCAGTGACGGTATAAACTGTACGAAAAATAAAACATAAACTTACCACGTGCTCTTTGTTGATGCTGGCTTTGCAATTCCAAAAACTTGGCAGCTTCCAGGAGCGTTTCGATGCTCATGTCTGTCCAGTGACGAGGACTGGTTGTACTTTTTGAGAGAAAAGCGCAGCGCGGCGACGTGCGCCTGTCTGTGTGCGTCCTTACAGTACAGGGAGAAGTTCCCAGTCTAAAGATGGAACACGGTAACCGGACCCCCCCACCCAGTCGCCCTCACACCCTCCCTCGGTCTAAAAACTCTCCCACTTACGTAGAGAGGAGTTACAAACAAGATGGCGCTCAAAGTAGTACGAACAAATACAGGTTTGTGAATCATGCAGCGTTTGTATCCGCCCACAGTGAGAGGGAGGAGGGAGGGAGGGAGATCGGCGAGGCAGCACGGGGAGGGAGGAAGCCAAAACACGGAACAGCCCACACCAGGGATCATAACCGAGGTGTGTGGGCTGACTCACAGTTGTCAAACTTGTGCTTCCTCCTACTGACTGCTGTTAACCTGWTAGAGTGACGTCATTAAAATTAGCTAGCGACAGAACAAATACACTCCTGATCAAAATCTTAAGACMCAATCAAAAAAAGTGCAAGAATTTGCATTTTGCGCTATTGGATCTTAAGAAGGTTCTAAGTAGAGCTTCACAATGTTAAAAGAAGAAATCAGTGCAAGAGACAAGAACTTTTGAGCAGGGAATTTTCTGAAAACTGCATTTACACTCAAACATGATTTTTTTTTCAGCTGATCAAAAGTTTAAGACCATAGCTCAAAAAACCATCATACCATCACTTCATACCACGACACCCCCCAAAACAGAAATCAAAGTGTCAAAAAAAGGACTCAGTAATGAGTAGCTCCACCATTCTTGTTGATGACTTCAAACAATGGTTTAGGCATGCTTGATGCCAGTGTTTCCAGG